AGGACCCAAATGCAGATTTCCAAGAATAATTCCTTTAATCCGGTACAAAGTAGAACACAGAACACTACCATGTGACACACAGTCAAATACAAACAATGAACCAACAATGACAGACAGAAAAACCAGAACTAAAATACACACAAGACCAATCACACAAACAAGACACAGGTGAGGAGGGAGGAGAAAACACAGGGGCACCAGGTGAACACAATCGGGCAATCAGGCAGGAGGGAACACAGAGACAGGAAGCAACAGGCACGACGGGGGTGAACACTTTTCAAAACAAAACAGGAAACCAAAGACAGAAAAAGACAAGACAAAATACAACACAGACAGATCGTGACACCTTCACAGCCCTACACTTTAAATCATGAGACTTTCAAATCATAACAGACAGAGATCGGTATCACTTTGTGTTGCAAGCCAAATCCATGTAAAGGTTCTACTTGAGCCCAATTTAAATACCATAAAGAAAGTATTGAACCCAGCTCAAGCTAAATGTCAAATGTATTTAATTAATGTGCAAGTGTTTAGATTTATTTAAAATGTTCTAATCTCAGCTTCTTTCGAGTTCAGTCTAAGCAACAAATTGTTTCTCATAACATTCTCACTGCTGTCCCAAATGTTTTAACCTTGGGCAGACAAGCTGTTCACACACCCACACACACCCACACACACCCACACACTTTGGATAAGTAGTCACCTTATCCACATTGTAAATTGTTGCCTACTTTAAAGTTATTAGTAATTTAAGATTAATTATTGAATTAAATGGGGTACATAAGATAAAATAAATAAAATAACTTTGACTTGATCATTTTGTTCACAACATTAGACCTGTCCTCTAATCTCTACTAGAATAAGATAAGTGTGCATGTTTGGATGTTTTATCACTCCTGTAATGTACCTAATCTTGATATCCTTTTCATTACAGAGCTGGGAAAATGGTGTATTGATTAGATTCTGATCCGTGCAAGTCCAATTTTGACTGACTTTAGTTCTAATGTTAATGTTAATTTGACTTCAACCCATAAGTAATTATTTAAATTAACTCTAAATGTCACATGATGATGGATTAGTGTTCCACATTTCTTCCACTAATTTGTTTTACAATTAGGCCAAAGGTAAAGAGAGACATTGATGACCTTGTGTCCCTTTTGTTAGTACGTGGTTCCATTTTGTCTATGGCCTTGGACGGCTTCACTAAAAGTCACCCAGTTCTGCCCTGCTGCAGTCCGGCTGAGTGCAGTCACAGAGATGCTATGGCTGCTCTACATGACATTAATGGTCTGGTCTGAATGGACACCATTTCCTGCTCCCAGAGAGAATGACACTCCTCAAACTGAACATTACAGCCGTTGATACTGTCTCACATGGGTCTGCTCCCCCCCACTGAGCCATGAACTGAAAGCATGACATCTGCTATGAACACTTGGAAGCCTCCCTGTCACACCAGCACCAACCCTTGGGTCAGTCAGATGAGACTAACGGCTTCACTTAGGGCATTTGGTTCAGATACATGACTCTCGTTACCGCAGAGTGGGTTGTTTTTAAGGCTATTCATACTGCTATGCAGAGGATGCCTGTAAGTTAGCGAGCTGGTAAAAGCCCCTACTATTGTTTCAAATAGGCCTAATGTCAGGGGTCTCTTAATGTCTAGTTCTACATGTATTCACATTATATAGACAATGTTTCCACCTGGTAAAACTAAAGGCTGCACAAAACTCAGGCTACAATAAAACCATTCTGTTCTGCTCTAACGATTCAATGTATAGATTCTACATCAAAACAATTAGCGTTTATTGTTTCCAATGATAACGTCACCTTAAGTTGAGGAATGCAAACCTGTTTTCAAATGTAAGGTTTTGATTTTGTTTGACATTTCTCAGTAATGACACCCTCAGACACCCAATATCATTCATGCTATGCCTTCAGTAATAACACAGATGTTAAAGGGATGAAACTTTTCCTCCCAAATCAGATATGCTTTGTTTTTCAACAAATGTATCCATTCCTAGAGCCCTGCATAATATATGTTTCTCACAATGGTTTTTTGTAAGCTGCACACAGGTGATACTGAGTCTTCTCGATTAATAGATTATAAACTATACCATGCTTAAATAGACTCCTAAGTTATTATTTCATATGTACCATATGTAAGAAAAGGGAGGGAAGAGTCAATTATATTGAGTAATTGATTTTATATTGGGTAATTTATTTCTCAAACCTATGTTTAATGGAAGAGACAAAATATTTCTGATAAACTAATATTTTATCAAAAGGTAAATGGTGAATTAATATACATTTAGAATCATTGAGAAGGGGTTATATCCACAGGGACAAGCTCACCTTTAACTTACAATAACATGTCTCTGCTATGGACTGATGAGTATATGATTCTTGCATGTTAAATGACTAACACAAACCTTCAAAATGATAATGTGCATGTGTCAGGAAGGCTCCCAAATCATTCTGAGGGGCCTTTCCTATTTTTGTAATTAAATGATAATGTGCTAATCCATTACTTTGAGTTGTCTTCACTCAGAAAAACATCCCTATCAGGTGGTAACCCAATAACTAGGACAGCTCTCAAGGCCAAGGGTCAGAGAGAGAGGGTCACACTCTCCGGGTGCAGAGAGCACCCCCAGCCACGTGCAAGGAAGCACGAGGTCGTTCGAGATGGGATGCTCCTCTTCACCTTTCTGATAAGATGGGATGCTTCTCTTCACCTTTCTGCTGAGAGGGGATGCTTCTCTTCACCTTTCTGATAAGATGGGATGCTTCTCTTCACCTTTCTGCTGAGAGGGGGTTCTTCTCTTCATCTTTCTGCTCGGTGGGCTCTAGCAGACAACCCTGCAGGACGAGCGAGGGTTTCAGAGGCTTCTATAATACAATGTTCCATGTTTCTTGGAGGAGTTTGATGTCTTCCTAACCTCTCCCATCACGGGGGGGACACCTGGATGCATCAGGAATACGCAGTTGTACTCAAGCAGATAGCAGAAGGAATACCGGCAGATGAGCCTCCGTCTCACTGGGGGATTAACTACAGTGCTCACTGAATGAGCCACACAAAAGCAGAGCAATTGGGGGGTTGAAATATGGCGCTCTGATGAAGAAGAGTTTGAGCCAATCAGCACCTCAGTGCTAATCTACAGTATCAGGATGCCTTTACACGCCAGACACTCGGTGTCATAAAGGGAGGAGGAGAACGAGTCAGGAAGCCTGACGGACATGTTCTTCCAGCTCTCGTACAAAGATGAACTTTGAATTGAATTAATGATTGTTTTTTATATTTCCAATGACCAGACATGTGTTAAATAGTGGTGATAAATATATTTAGTCAGATCAGATTACATTTTCACACTAAACAAAATTAATAAATAAATATTCTCAGATTATAAGGTATTGAATAATAAGATATTTCTAATATTATAACAGATAATGTTAATATCCTTAATCGTCCAGCACTCAGGCTTAACAACACTACTCTGTAATGTATTACCCATGCACAGACAGACATAAAATGATGTTTCAAGTACTGGATTAATTTCAGTTTTGGCCCAAAACAAATATTTATAATAATTCATATAACAATTATGTAGCATATTTGATCCTCAAATTAGAGAATTATAATTGAAAGAAATTGATATTCTATATTCAACATTAGATAAACACAGAAGAACCCTTTCCAAGTACCATAAGTAGATGATCAGGTAAGTATGGCTAATAAGAATAAGTGATAGACTTAATTTGGTACAGATCAGTTGTAGCATTTACAAATGTATGAATTAAAGTTTTAAGAATGTTTAATCTTTCCTTTCCAGGTTTTTACAAAAGTCTTTGAATATTTGCCTAACTTTTCCTTTTCAGATTTTGAACAATGTACTTGACTAAAATGAATGTATTGATTTTACTAAGACTAAGTGCCTTACTCTTGACTAAAGCGTAATGAAGTAAACGTAAAGTAATCCTAAAATTGAGGACACTGCAACTTTGCCGATTACAGATTGATCAAATTACCACTGTGAATTTTATGCCTTAGCTGGATCTCTTATGATCCTAAGTTTTAAATGCTTTTGACTAGTGATTGCCTTAAAGCAAATCTTTAAGCTGTTTCTGGTTTTGATTTTATAGTTTGATAAATGACATTAACTAATGGTTTAAATGATAAAAGATATTAGTTTAAAACAAATATTTTGCTATTATGTATCTGTGTTTTATGTGTGTTCATTATTATGCTTTTGACAAAAGATGCTCCAAACACTGATGAGAGATAATTTTTCCTATTATGATTGCCTGTATCAATCATTGTGATTGAATGTTTCAATCTTATTCTACTTTGTGATGTAATTGAATGTAAGGTGAGACCACAGTCAAATCTGAAGACGCCTATTGATTTAAGTATTGACCAGAATTATTAGACTAATGTTTTAAGGTTATCAAAAATGATAAAAAGAGAGGAACTGTTAAGGAATAATTCTTCTAGATATCTAACCTTTTACTCTGACATATGTTATCTCCTTTAAGGAAAGGCCTTGGTGCCATATGTGTTGTTGTCCCCAGTGTGAGACCGGTCAACTTGACTGGCACGTAGGGTAATTGTTGTGAGAACACTGAAGCACTTCTTTATCAGTGTTTGTGGGCTCTCGGATGTGAAATCCTTGAGGCCATGAGCGTTGGACGCAGATGATTCAGTGTTTAGTCTACTCCTTCAGAGATGTTGATTTCTCTCTGTGAACCTGTTAAAAGGTCTAGCATAGAGAGAGGTTCTTCAGAATTGACGTGGCAACTCTACCGTGTGGTCAGAACCTCTGACTCTTTGATTTGTGATGTGAATCCTCCGGCCGAATACTCTGAATAAACCCATCAGTGTTTGACATCAAAGCTCCAACTCTCACCGTGTCTCCTTCCTGAGTCGGTGACTCCATGCATTACTACACAGAAGTTTCCTCCACAGGTTTCATTTCTAATAACTCAATTATGTTCCTGTTCCCTCTCAGATGTATCCTCACCCCGATGTTGTTGAATGCTGTCTGGTTCTCCTGCACATCAGCAAGTCTTCGTCTCTCTCTGAGTCGCTCCAACAAAAGGCCAAAGATCTGCTCCGCAAATACGGAACAAATCCCTCCGTCCTCAAAACTGCTCAGAAATTCCTTACCTGAATCTTTCATTTAAAGACTGAAAGAAGCACTTCCTTTGTACAGCATTCTTTTTTTGTTGAGTAAAAATAAACTTTGATTCTACTTCCAGAAAAGCCTGAAAGTCTTCTGTAAGAGCTGCATGCCCATTTTCTGTCAGTATTTTGGACTTCGAGCAAAAGATGTGGTTAAACTGCCCAACACTAACGGTTCAAACTGTTATAAATTGATAGGTAATTATTTAAACATGCTTCCAGCTGCTTGTAATAACGCTGTGAAACAAAAACAGGTTTAAAAAATGGTTCTGAATATGTGGCCATATACTCAGCATGGAGAGTGTCAGTCCGGAGACTAGGACATTTGATGACCTGGACCTCGGTGAGTATGGGCTTCTGTCTGAGCGTCACGCCACCTGTCAGGCCTCCCAGAGGTCAGTGAGGGAGATCCAGGAGCGGATCGCAGCCCTGGTGCTGAGGCACAGCCGGGCCCAGGTAGGGCAGCTGGACTCTGGGGAGAAGGAGGCCGCAGACAGGCCTCTGCAGCTCTCCTCCAGCAGAGAGGGCTCTGCTGATGCTGAGCAAAGGTGAGGGCTCCGTTACTGATGATTACTGACACATTCGTGGGTCTCTTCATATCATGTTTGCCTGTGAAACTATAAAATATACCATTCAGTACTCTTTTAATTGATTTACTGATTTAATTCCAACACATGCAGTATCCAAATGATGCTTAATGTCTAAATCTCTAGTTTAAAATGACATGGCGTTTTCTTTATGGCATTATACTATGCCTTAATTTAGTTGACTTTGTAATGACATTTTATATGACATACTAGGTGATTAAATTCAGCAGTTTACATTTTGAACATTTCAGGTGTTCAGCTGATCTTGTTGGATTATATGGATTGTCCCATTAAGCTTCTGCATGTGCTCTCCCTCAGGCCTGAGGAGCAGGAGACCCTGCTCTCTCTGTCGACCAAGATGTCAGAACACCAGAAACAGCTGGCTGACCTGCCGAACACAATCAAGGTATTTCATTATTGTTAATTAAAAACCAAGTTATGTTATGACTGAAAGGTCTGCGGTGCAATACTAAAATATCGATAACGACACAACTATCAGTACCAAACAAGCTGACTTTATCAAGTGATTTAAGAAGGGTTTCATTTCTAATAACTCAATTATGTTCCTGTTCCCTCTCAGATGTATCCTCACCCCGATGTTGTTGAATGCTGTCTGGTTCTCCTGCACATCAGCAAGTCTTCGTCTCTCTCAGAGTCGCTCCAACAAAAGGCCAAAGATCTGCTCCGCAAATACGGAACAAATCCCTCCGTCCTCAAAACTGCTCAGAAATTCCTTACCTGAATCTTTCATTTAAAGACTGAAAGAAGCACTTCCTTTGTACAGCATTTTTTTTTGTTGAGTAAAAATAAACTTTGATTCTACTTCCAGAAAAGCCTGAAAGTCTTCTGTAAGAGCTGCATGCCCATTTTCTGTCAGTATTTTGGACTTCGAGTAAAAAATGTGGTTAAACTGCCCAACACTAACGGTTCAAACTGTTATAAATTGATAGGTAATTATTTAAACATGCTTCCAGCTGCTTGTCTTGTGTAAAGATTTGATGCTTTGCTCTAGTGTTTCAATAAATGTTATATATCTTTGGGCAGTGAAGGTCGTGTGGCTTACAATTTATGGCATGAGATTTTACTGACAAAACAAATATGTAAAAAGATGGAAACTATTTGGCATTTTTATGCTTGATAAATTGTGCACAGAAAGTTGATACATGTTCTGTCTTGTGACTGATTAGTCCAATTGTTGAAGCCCTAGTTTTTTTATTTTAAATGCGAGATTGCAGACATTTTGGGTAAATCTTGCATTACGTCTCCTTTACTTGAAAAGCCATTGAAACAAATGTTAAACAAGCTGCGTGTCAGTGTGCTGGTAAAAAAGATTGAATACTTAACGTTTACATTCAAAATACAAAACAATTTAATATACAACTGTTTAAAACAATGTAGAATGTAAAAACAACAGCAACCACAACATCTGTAAACCTGGTGGTGGACAGTTTGTCATGGTGGGTGAATGTACAGAACCACAGTAGTTTCCCATTGAGACACATGCATAACCAAGCACAGTTATACACTTCGACGCCCACTGTTAAAAGTTTCTGAAAGTGGAAAAGAGCTAAAACATTTTTATTTTCATCAAAATTATACATTTTAATTTACAGGCCCTTCCAACATTAACTTAAAAAAATGAAATCCCTGCAACAAGAGACGAGTCCCGCTGATGAGAAGGATATTCTGAACTGAACAAACTGACTGTTTTTGGCAAGGTTTGGTCTGAAATCACAGTATGATGGAGGAGCTGGTCCCATGCTGTGAAAGAAGGGGGGGGGGGGGGGGTCAATAATGCTGTGAAACAAAAACAGGTTTAAAAAATGGTTCTGAATATGTGGCCATATACTCAGCATGGAGAGTGTCAGTCCGGAGACTAGGACATTTGATGACCTGGACCTCGGTGCGTATGGGCTTCTGTCTGAGCGTCACGCCACCTGTCAGGCCTCCCAGAGGTCAGTGAGGGAGATCCAGGAGCGGATCGCAGCCCTGGTGCTGAGGCACAGCCGGGCCCAGGTAGGGCAGCTGGACTCTGGGGAGAAGGAGGCCGCAGACAGGCCTCTGCAGCTCTCCTCCAGCAGAGAGGGCTCTGCTGATGCTGAGCAAAGGTGAGGGCTCCGTTACTGATGATTACTGACACATTCGTGGGTCTCTTCATATCATGTTTGCCTGTGAAACTATAAAATATACCATTCAGTACTCTTTTAATTGATTTACTGATTTAATTCCGACACATGCAGTATCCAAAATGATGCTTAATGTCTAAATCTCTAGTTTAAAATGACATGGCGTTTTCTTTATGGCATTATACTATGCCTTAATTTAGTTGACTTTGTAATGACATTTTATATGACATACTAGGTGATTAAATTCAGCAGTTTACATTTTGAACATTTCAGGTGTTCAGCTGATCTTGTTGGATTATATGGTTTGTCCCATTAAGCTTCTGTATGTGCTCTCCCTCAGGCCTGAGGAGCAGGAGACCCTGCTCTCTCTGTCGACCAAGATGTCAGAACACCAGAAACAGCTGGCTGACCTGCCGAACACAATCAAGGTATTTCATTATTGTTAATTAAAAACCAAGTTATGTTATGACTGAAAGGTCTGCGGTGCAATACTAAAATATCGATAACGACACAACTGTCAGTACCAAACAAGCTGACTTTATCAAGTGATTTAAGAAGGGTTTTGTTAAGGAATAATTCTTCTAGATATCTAACCTTTTACTCTGACATATGTTATCTCCTTTAAGGAAAGGCCTTGGTGCCATATGTGTTGTTGTCCCCAGTGTGAGACCGGTCAACTTGACTGGCACGTAGGGTAATTGTTGTGAGAACACTGAAGCACTTCTTTATCGGTGTTTGTGGGCTCTCGGATGTGAAATCCTTGAGGCCATGAGCGTTGGACGCAGATGATTCAGTGTTTAGTCTACTCCTTCAGAGATGTTGATTTCTCTCTGTGAACCTGTTAAAAGGTCTAGCATAGAGAGAGGTTCTTGAGAATTGACGTGGCAACTCTACCGTGTGGTCAGAACCTCTGACTCTTTGATTTGTGATGTGAATCCTCCGGCCGAATACTCTGAATAAACCCATCAGTGTTTGACATCAAAGCTCCAACTCTCACCGTGTCTCCTTCCTGAGTCGGTGACTCCATGCATTACTACACAGAAGTTTCCTCCACAAATTGGCGTTGTCGGCAGGATACCAACAGATCTTCAGAGACTGGTAAGTGTGATTTCAAATCTACATTTGGACATTGCCTTACCAGAATCTGTGATTGACGGTATCCTAAAATTATCTGTGAAGCTAAGCGGCTGCGTTTCGTTTTGGTTAATGAACATTTGGGGCTATTAACCCCAGGGGATCATCCAGGGACTCTGTCCTGGCTGGTTCCCTCTGTGTGTGTGCTGCTCGGGACGTATGTGCCGTGCAGGCATACACGGAGATGTTTAAAAAGACCTTAATGAGGGCAGCAGTAAAGTGGAACTTCTGTGTGAAATCAAAATAGAGATTTGTAATGAACAAATCGCCGAGATTCCGGGGGTTTCAGCGGCCAACACTATCAGTTAACTAAAGCAGCCATGGATATTACCCCCAGCGCCTCTAAAAAAAACACGGCTCCAGCTGCTGCGGCTCCGGGGAATGTGTGTCAAATACCTCCCCGTATCTGCATGAGCTGGTGAAGTGAACTCAGAGGGAGAAAATCACAGCTTTTGTCTATAACTTTAACTCACACCACCGCCGTCTCTATTAAAAAAAAAGAGACTGTTTAAAAGCGATCTCGTGGCTTGTGGCCATTTACGATGTGCTGGCAGGTGCGAGGTGCGTGCATTACCTGATGCGACAGGCACCCTACATTGCTGAGGAGCTGATGTCGGTCCGGGGTGCATACATAAAATTATAGGCTAATTGATCATGGGTGGGCAGTGGTATGCAAGTGTAGAGCAGAACTGTGTTTCATCGTTGGGATGAACATGATGGGAGGTGTGTAGGCTGGTCGAGTAGGACTACAGTTAACTGTGTGGTTTCGGATAGAAAGGGTAGAGGAAAAAAGTCTATGTGCTCCGGATCGGGGGGGCATAGCACCACTAGAGCAGGGATAGTGGAGTCGCAAGAGGATAAGCTAGTTATTGCTCTTGGACGGTCTTCAGGCACCGATCTAAGGACTTGTATACAAGGGTGGAGGTACGAGTCAAGGTACCCCACTGGATTCCCATTGGGAGAGATCAAATAGTCCCTACCCCCTCTGAAACCTCTTTAATCCGGACTAAATTGAGCTGGATGAACTTTTGCTGTCACGCTGGTGTTTATTATGAGTTCATCATGTTTGTTTGTCTGATTGTTTGTATCAGGGGTCTATATTGGTTTGTCTAACCGCCGTCTTGTGCATGTTTTGTAACAACTAATAATGAATCAGTCCATAGCCAGGGTAAAATAAACTAAGCTTTAGTTAACTCACCAAAAGTAAATGACTTGAGAAAGTTAAATAATATATAGTGTTTTGCAAAATTCTGGTAGTATAGATGTGCTGCAAAATGAAAATAAATAGCAAAAGAGTGTTTTTATGTCCTGCATCTGAGTGTGCAGAGGAAACGTAAACAAGAAGCACACTGTTCAGGGTGTGCGCTGCATCTGAGTGTGCAGAGGAAATGTAAACAAGGAGCACACTGTTCAGGGTGTGCGCTGTATCTGAGTGTGCAGAGGAAATGTAAACAAGGAGCACACTGTTCAGGGTGTGCGCTGTAGGTGTAAGAAGAAAATAAGATTATATTACTTTTAAGAATACATTCTTAAATTGTATTGCTGGTATGTTAAGATATGTTTGTGACCTTTTATAAACCCTATGCCCCGTCCTGCACCCTGAGACCCTCAGAGGCATCACTGCTGGTCGTAAAAACCCTGCCTGAGGAGGTCAGGGTGGCAAAATCTGTCTGCTGTTTTAGGTCAATATTGTATTATTTGTTTCATTTATTCTTAAATCTATGTATTGTATGGTAATAATGAAAAAAAACGTAATGTATTGAACACATTCCGAAACAAAGCTGATAAGACAGAACTTGACTCAGACATAATACAAATTATTGTTGAAACCTTTTGCGCTGTTGCTGCAAAATGGAAACTTTGTTGATTATCTATTCCAACTGGCCACTGGAATCAGATAATTAATATAAGTTGAAGTTTAATTACAGTTTTAAATATAGTTTAATATTCTTTATTAAACTGCTTCAAATGATTTCTCGTATCAACCAATTGGTCTCCAGAGACATTACTAAAATTATAATAGTTGTTAAACTACTGACAAGTTTTCTGAAACCGAGTTTATGAACAAAAGAGTAAAGGTCGCTGGTTAAGCCAGGATCAATATATTTGTTGACGTTTTCATTACAGTGTGCATAATAAATGTGTTAAATGAATTGAGCAATTCTTTAAAAAGTATAATGTTGCAATCTCTTTACAATAAGTAATTACAGTTAACAAAGAAGTAGAGGTTGTTTTCCAAGGGCCTCTCCTTCACAGCCCTACACTTTAAATCATGAGACTTTCAAATCATAACAGACAGAGATCGGTATCACTTTGTGTTGCAAGCCAAATCCATGTAAAGGTTCTACTTGAGCCCAATTTAAATACCATAAAGAAAGTATTGAACCCAGCTCAAGCTAAATGTCAAATGTATTTAATTAATGTGCAAGTGTTTAGATTTATTTAAAATGTTCTAATCTCAGCTTCTTTCGAGTTCAGTCTAAGCAACAAATTGTTTCTCATAACATTCTCACTGCTGTCCCAAATGTTTTAACCTTGGGCAGACAAGCTGTTCACACACCCACACACACCCACACACACCCACACACTTTGGATAAGTAGTCACCTTATCCACATTGTAAATTGTTGCCTACTTTAAAGTTATTAGTAATTTAAGATTAATTATTGAATTAAATGGGGTACATAAGATAAAATAAATAAAATAACTTTGACTTGATCATTTTGTTCACAACATTAGACCTGTCCTCTAATCTCTACTAGAATAAGATAAGTGTGCATGTTTGGATGTTTTATCACTCCTGTAATGTACCTAATCTTGATATCCTTTTCATTACAGAGCTGGGAAAATGGTGTATTGATTAGATTCTGATCCGTGCAAGTCCAATTTTGACTGACTTTAGTTCTAATGTTAATGTTAATTTGACTTCAACCCATAAGTAATTATTTAAATTAACTCTAAATGTCACATGATGATGGATTAGTGTTCCACATTTCTTCCACTAATTTGTTTTACAATTAGGCCAAAGGTAAAGAGAGACATTGATGACCTTGTGTCCCTTTTGTTAGTACGTGGTTCCATTTTGTCTATGGCCTTGGACGGCTTCACTAAAAGTCACCCAGTTCTGCCCTGCTGCAGTCCGGCTGAGTGCAGTCACAGAGATGCTATGGCTGCTCTACATGACATTAATGGTCTGGTCTGAATGGACACCATTTCCTGCTCCCAGAGAGAATGACACTCCTCAAACTGAACATTACAGCCGTTGATACTGTCTCACATGGGTCTGCTCCCCCCCACTGAGCCATGAACTGAAAGCATGACATCTGCTATGAACACTTGGAAGCCTCCCTGTCACACCAGCACCAACCCTTGGGTCAGTCAGATGAGACTAACGGCTTCACTTAGGGCATTTGGTTCAGATACATGACTCTCGTTACCGCAGAGTGGGTTGTTTTTAAGGCTATTCATACTGCTATGCAGAGGATGCCTGTAAGTTAGCGAGCTGGTAAAAGCCCCTACTATTGTTTCAAATAGGCCTAATGTCAGGGGTCTCTTAATGTCTAGTTCTACATGTATTCACATTATATAGACAATGTTTCCACCTGGTAAAACTAAAGGCTGCACAAAACTCAGGCTACAATAAAACCATTCTGTTCTGCTCTAACGATTCAATGTATAGATTCTACATCAAAACAATTAGCGTTTATTGTTTCCAATGATAACGTCACCTTAAGTTGAGGAATGCAAACCTGTTTTCAAATGTAAGGTTTTGATTTTGTTTGACATTTCTCAGTAATGACACCCTCAGACACCCAATATCATTCATGCTATGCCTTCAGTAATAACACAGATGTTAAAGGGATGAAACTTTTCCTCCCAAATCAGATATGCTTTGTTTTTCAACAAATGTATCCATTCCTAGAGCCCTGCATAATATATGTTTATCACAATGGTTTTTTGTAAGCTGCACACAGGTGATACTGAGTCTTCTCGATTAATAGATTATAAACTATACCATGCTTAAATAGACTCCTAAGTTATTATTTCATATGTACCATATGTAAGAAAAGGGAGGGAAGAGTCAATTATATTGAGTAATTGATTTTATATTGGGTAATTTATTTCTCAAACCTATGTTTAATGGAAGAGACAAAATATTTCTGATAAACTAATATTTTATCAAAAGGTAAATGGTGAATTAATATACATTTAGAATCATTGAGAAGGGGTTATATCCACAGGGACAAGCTCACCTTTAACTTACAATAACATGTCTCTGCTATGGACTGATGAGTATATGATTCTTGCATGTTAAATGACTAACACAAACCTTCAAAATGATAATGTGCATGTGTCAGGAAGGCTCCCAAATCATTCTGAGGGGCCTTTCCTATTTTTGTAATTAAATGATAATGTGCTAATCCATTACTTTGAGTTGTCTTCACTCAGAAAAACATCCCTATCAGGTGGTAACCCAATAACTAGGACAGCTCTCAAGGCCAAGGGTCAGAGAGAGAGGGTCACACTCTCCGGGTGCAGAGAGCACCCCCAGCCACGTGCAAGGAAGCACGAGGTCGTTCGAGATGGGATGCTCCTCTTCACCTTTCTGATAAGATGGGATGCTTCTCTTCACCTTTCTGCTGAGAGGGGATGCTTCTCTTCATCTTTCTGCTGAGAGGGGATGCTTCTCTTCACCTTTCTGCTGAGAGGGGATGCTTCTCTTCACCTTTCTGATAAGATGGGATGCTTCTCTTCACCTTTCTGCTGAGAGGGGATGCTTCTCTTCATCTTTCTGCTCGGTGGGCTCTAGCAGACAACCTTGCAGGACGAGCGAGGGTTTCAGAGGCTTCTATAATACAATGTTCCATGTTTCTTGGAGGAGTTTGATGTCTTCCTAACCTCTCCCATCACGGGGGGGACACCTGGATGCATCAGGAATACGCAGTTGTACTCAAGCAGATAGCAGAAGGAATACCGGCAGATGAGCCTCCGTCTCACTGGGGGATTAACTACAGTGCTCACTGAATGAGCCACACAAAAGCAGAGCAATTGGGGGGTTGAAATATGGCGCTCTGATGAAGAAGAGTTTGAGCCAATCAGCACCTCAGTGCTAATCTACAGTATCAGGATGCCTTTACACACCAGACACTCGGTGTCATAAAGGGAGGAGGAGAACGAGTCAGGAAGCCTGACGGACATGTTCTTCCAGCTCTCGTACAAAGATGAACTTTGAATTGAATTAATGATTGTTTTTTATATTTCCAATGACCAGACATGTGTTAAATAGTGGTGATAAATATATTTAGTCAGATCAGATTACATTTTCACACTAAACAAAATTAATAAATAAATATTCTCAGATTATAAGGTATTGAATAATAAGATATTTCTAATATTATAACAGATAATGTTAATATCCTTAATCATCCAGCAATCAGGCTTAACAACACTACTCTGTAATGTATTACACATGCACAGACAGACATAAAATGATGTTTCAAGTACTGGATTAATTTCAGTTTTGGCCCAAAACAAATATTTATAATAATTCATATAACAATTATGTAGCATATTTGATCCTCAAATTAGAGAATTATAATTGAAAGAAATTGATATTCTATATTCAACATTAGATAAACACAGAAGAACCCTTTCCAAGTACCATAAGTAGATGATCAGGTAAGTATGGCTAATAAGAATAAGTGATAGACTTAATTTGGTACAGATCAGTTGTAGCATTTACAAATGTATGAATTAAAGTTTTAAGAATGTTTAATCTTTCCTTTCCAGGTTTTTACAAAAGTCTTTGAATATTTGCCTAACTTTTCCTTTTCAGATTTTGAACAATGTACTTGACTAAAATGAATGTATTGATTTTACTAAGACTAAGTGCCTTACTCTTGACTAAAGCGTAATGAAGTAAACGTAAAGTAATCCTAAAATTGAGGACACTGCAACTTTGCCGATTACAGATTGATCAAATTACCACTGTGAATTTTATGCCTTAGCTGGATCTCTTATGATCCTAAGTTTTAAATGCTTTTGACTAGTGATTGCCTTAAAGCAAATCTTTAAGCTGTTTCTGGTTTTGATTTTATAGTTTGATAAATGACATTAACTAATGGTTTAAATGATAAAAGATATTAGTTTAAAACAAATATTTTGCTATTATGTATCTGTGTTTTATGTGTGTTCATTATTATGCTTTTGACAAAAGATGCTCCAAACACTGATGAGAGATAATTTTTCCTATTATGATTGCCTGTATCAATCATTGTGATTGAATGTTTCAATCTTATTCTACTTTGTGATGTAATTGAATGTAAGGTGAGACCACAGTCAAATCTGAAGACGCCTATTGATTTAAGTATTGACCAGAATTATTAGACTAATGTTTTAAGGTTATCAAAAATGATAAAAAGAGAGGAACTGTTAAGGAATAATTCTTCTAGATATCTAACCTTTTACTCTGACATGTTATCTCCTTTAAGGAAAGGCCTTGGTGCCATATGTGTTGTTGTCCCCAGTGTGAGACCGGTCAACTTGACTGGCACGTAGGGTAATTGTTGTGAGAACACTGAAGCACTTCTTTATCGGTGTTTGTGGGCTCTCGGATGTGAAATCCTTGAGGCCATGAGCGTTGGACGCAGATGATTCAGTGTTTAGTCTACTCCTTCAGAGATGTTGATTTCTCTCTGTGAACCTGTTAAAAGGTCTAGCATAGAGAGAGGTTCTTCAGAATTGACGTGGCAACTCTACCGTGTGGTCAGAACCTCTGACTCTTTGATTTGTGATGTGAATCCTCCGGCCGAATACTCTGAATAAACCCATCAGTGTTTGACATCAAAGCTCCAACTCTCACCGTGTCTCCTTCCTGAGTCGGTGACTCCATGCATTACTACACAGAAGTTTCCTCCACAGGTTTCATTTCTAATAACTCAATTATGTTCCTGTTCCCTCTCAGATGTATCCTCACCCCGATGTTGTTGAATGCTGTCTGGTTCTCCTGCACATCAGCAAGTCTTCGTCTCTCTCAGAGTCGCTCCAACAAAAGGCCAAAGATCTGCTCCGCAAATACGGAACAAATCCCTCCGTCCTCAAAACTGCTCAGAAATTCCTTACCTGAATCTTTCATTTAAAGACTGAAAGAAGCACTTCCTTTGTACAGCATTCTTTTTTTGTTGAGTAAAAATAAACTTTGATTCTACTTCCAGAAAAGCCTGAAAGTCTTCTGTAAGAGCTGCATGCCCATTTTCTGTCAGTATTTTGGACTTCGAGCAAAAGATGTGGTTAAACTGCCCAACACTAACGGTTCAAACTGTTATAAATTGATAGGTAATTATTTAAACATGCTTCCAGCTGCTTGTCTTGTGTAAAGATTTGATGCTTTGCTCTAGTGTTTCAATAAATGTTATATATCCTTGGGCAGTGAAGGTCGTGTGGCTTTACAATTTATGGCATGAGATTTTACTGACAAAACAAATATGTAAAAAGATGGAAACTATTTGGCATTTTTATGCTTGATAAATTGTGCACAGAAAGTTGATGCATGTTCTGTCTTGTGACTGATTAGTCTAATTGTTGAAGCCCTAGTTTTTTATTTGAAATGCGAGATTGCAGACATGTTTGGGTAAATCTTGCATTACGTCTCCTTTACTTGAAAAGCCATTGAAACAAATGTTAAACAAGCTGCGTGTCAGTGTGCTGGTCAAAAAGATTGAATACTTAACGTTTACATTCAAAATACAAAACAATTTAATATACAACTGTTTAAAACAATGTAGAATGTAAAAACAACAGCAACCACAACATCTGTAAACCTGGTGGTGGACAGTTTGTCATGGTGGGTGAATGTACAGAACCACAGTAGTTTCCCATTGAGACACATGCATAACCAAGCACAGTTATACACTTCGACGCCCACCGTTAAAAGTTTCTGAAAGTGGAAAAGAGCTAAAACATTTTTATTTTCATCAAAATTATACATTTTAATTTACAGGCCCTTCCAACATTAACTTAAAAAAATGAAATCCCTGCAACAAGAGACGAGTCCCGCTGATGAGAAGGATATTCTGAACTGAACAAACTGACTGTTTTTGGCAAGGTTTGGTCTGAAATCACAGTATGATGGAGGAGCTGGTCCCATGCTGTTAAAGAAGGGGGGGGGGGGGGGGGGGGGGTCAATAATGCTGTGAAACAAAAAATGGTTTAAAAAATGGTTCTGAATATGTGGCCATATACTCAGTAAAAGCGACTAAAAAGAAACGTCTGAGCCAGTGAAGGATCCAATGTCACTGTGAGTCCGTGTCCATTTTACAGTCACTCGGGAGGAAAATGTAAAGAAATATTTGTTTAGTCTCGTTCAGGGATCACGTGTTGAGGGAGATCGGGGAGAATCTGCTGGTTGGGTTTTTAAAACAAGTGCGTGTTCCACTTGAAGGTCAGTCAGTGCTTGTTGTTGGTCTCCTCCTGACCCGAGCCGGAGACGCCGTTCTGCGGCTGGGTGGAGCCCGAGCCCAGGCCGTATAATCTCCCACAATACTTTGCATCATCGATATTGTCCTCAAAGAAAAGCTGAGACAGAAAAAACAGATTTCCATTACATTCTGCTGTAGATATGAAAGCCCATCTTCCACTCTAACATGATGTATTCAGGTGGGCAAACTTATCGGGGTGAAAAAGTATTTCCTTGGTGTACTGCATTTCCTTTTAAAACAGGAAGTTCAAGTGGGAAGTATAACAGTAGGTGAGTGAAGCTCTAGCGAGGCATGGTAACCTTAGGCCTAGGGCCACAAAAGCGGATTTTAGGTCTTAGAATAAAGTCAGGTTTTTCACGTGATGATCCCAATCGTGTTTCGGACACATGACATACTATAATTATTGTAAAAAAGAAAATCAGTGTGTATCCTTCTGCACAGTTTACAGTAAACGAATTCTAGAAATATTGTAATTTATCTGGGATAAGAAATTTGAAGGCGGCTTAAACTGCAGCTCAGCTAGACTAAAGCATTTTAAACATCAAGACATTTGTTTAACTGTACCTCTTTCATCCTGAAGAAAGCCATGCCGGTGAGAAGCGAGTCAGATCCGGCCTGATGCTGCCGCCCGATCCTCTTTAGCTCCAGCTGCTCCGCTACTTCCTGCAGCCCTCCCTGCAATAACACAAATGTCAGATAGCTCAAGACTTGTTTTGACATTTGATTTCTTATATTGTAAGAAAGAACATTTGCCCAATCATCAACTAATGTTGATTGAAATCAACACCTCTGATGCGGTTTGGACAAAATGACTGTCTTGTATATCTGTGGATATTTTATGTTAAATAGTAGCGCATCAGTCTCATTTCATTGTGTTTCAATTGCCATCTTTGCTACAATGTTCATAAGCCCTCTCTTGTTCTTAAGTGGAGTTAGGACTCCACAATAAAGGACTCTTGAATACCTTCAAGTTCTTGCAGCTCTTCATCAAGTACTTGACGTCGTAGATGGCGGGGAAGAACAGGTTGAGGATCTGGAAGAAGTCGTGTTCTTCCTCAGGGAGCCGTGCGTCTGTTAGGAGCTTCACGAGGTAGCCGAAGTCGTAGCCGCTAAGAGAAACAGAACAGAGGTGTTGGGTTTAGGATGGACTCCAGAATGCTGTAAAAAACACCAATTATGGGTGCAGTTACAAGTAGGAAACAAATAAATGCTTCTCTACAGAGAATTGAGTTGGGTTCTAAACTTTTCAGGATAAATTCAACTGCTGTTATTTTATTTTTCTATTTTCCCAAAATAACATTGGAGATAGAAAGCAGGCTATGTCCGGGGGCATTTCTGCCTTGATCGAAAGGTGTGCAAGATCCACTGTCCCCACCAATTAATTCTAATATATTATATAGTCTTTAAGGCTCTAATAACATTTAGAGATGTAACCAAAATGATATGAAGTTATTTTTTATGAATTATTTTAAATAAATAATATAACATTCAAGAAACTGTAGGATCAAGGCCCGGTAAAATGGGACTAACAATGTAAAAGCTGAATCAGAACAGACGGCTGACCTGTGGAAGGAGAGCCACTTTGTGTTTTCACACAGCACCAGGCCGGATGTCATGAGGAGCTCAGCAAAGTAGAGTGTGTCGATTCCCTCTTCTTCATGTTTTTTAAACTGGAGGCCGGAGTTCTGGAGTAGGTCTATGGAGTCCTGCGAGTACATGTCTTCTCTGTGATGAGCAAAAAAAAAGCAAAAACATAGTGACATTAAAGGAATGCTACCATCACGCTCAACCATCAGCTGATACGTCTTTTAGGTCAGAATGGATTTGATTAGACGGTGCTAAAGGATGGTCCACTCACGTGAGGTTGAATTTGAAGTTGAACTGCCACGTCGACGTGCCAGGAGGATATTTTCCCGCCTCGTTCATGAAACTGAGGCCGAGCTGGATGATCTTCAGGAGGTCGACATTACACCGGAGCAGCTGGTACTGGTAGTCTACTGTGCTTCGAAACTCACCGATTGGCCGGACAACCACTCCAGGGAATTCTGTGTCCTGATGAAACATAGACAGGTGAAAACTCCACCTTTTAATTATTATTCCTGCACTGTTAATGCTCAACGTAATGTGATGGCAAATCGTCACTCAATCACTGCAGTTGTTTAATGTAATGTTTTTGTCTCCAATGCATTATTTAAGAAAACAGCATATACAATTTAAAACTTTACTTACAAATAAAGCAATCATTTACAGCAACGTAATCTCTTACCATGGCAATGAAACTGTAGCTTTGAATAACTTGCCGGATCTTCCTCATTTCGTCCTCCACATTACTCGCCCAGACTTCACAGATCATCTGACTAGAATCGGTTATTGCGGCTGGCATGTTGGTAGGTTTGGATGAGAGCTAAAAGCCCAACAATCCTGCAGCACGTGTGAAGGGGGCGAAGGGGAGGCGGTGAGATGAAGAGGGACAACTCTGGGAGAGGATACAACAAAAATGAGTTGGTGAATAAGTATACATCTTACTGCAACACTGGAGTTAAGACAGCATTATTCAAGCAAGGATGAGGATAGAACGACTGCTGTTTCAGTAAGGAAAATGCACACACTAATGTTTAAAGCACATGTCAACACACACACAGTAAACAAGGTCAACATATGCTAGTATTCTAAGAGATAATAAACTGAAAAAGCAATCTTTATTATAGTTTGAGATATATATATATATATATATATATATATATATATATATATATATATAAATGAGTGAATTAGTCATCAATCCAAAGTGTGAAATGTTGCAACACATGCAATACAACCATTAACATCCCAAGTGATGACTGTAGATAAGTTGATATTTGCCGTTTATTGTTTTTATTTTATTTTATTATGTTTATACTTTATTCAACCTTATAAATATTGTAATGCCTTAACACACTGATGCTGTATTAAAATAACTTCCAAACTTGGGATCAATAAAGTATCTATCTATCTATGCGTTACCATGACAAGAAGATGAATTAGCCTCATACAAGTTAGCTAGCAGTTGTTTATAACATCAAGCTAACACATCATATATACCTAACAAAAAGAACCACAAACGTTCCTCTGAACTGGAAGTATTTGGAAAGGGTTATGGGTGTTTAGTCATCATTTAAAATAACATTCATACGAACTAACGATGTTGCGGCGCTAGCATGAGTGGCTAATGTTCACAAGCTAATCCTCGCGTTATTGGGAAACACCGGAACAAAACATAAATAAAACGGCTCTGCTTGTCCACTTTTCGCAATGTCACACAGCTATGAACACTTGAGACATGTAAATATATTGCTGTTGAAAGTATATACATATGAAAAATAGGTTTACCTCAGAATTTCCTCGACGTTACCCGCCAAGCTAGCTAATAGCGCCTCTGTTGTTCTTCTTCTTCGTTTTCTCCGTCCCCTACGTCTTCTTCTTTGTGTATGTTGGCGGGTGGCAATTAGAGGGTAAATGTGCATACCGCCACCTACTGCACTGTCATGTAACGACGTGATTTGAGATCTCTACAGGCTAAACGGGTAAATAACATATTTTTTCCACATTTTGAATCCTGCTTCCAATCAAAAACAGTTGAGGAAAGATGAATTTGTAAGCTCTACAATATCTGTCTTACAAAACAACTCTAAAACGTATTGAATTGCTTATTGCTACCAGAGTACTTTCTTGTTAGTAATTACGTCTACCTTACCAAAGGCAACAATTGAACTTTTGTTTTCACTACATTTACCAATTGTACATCATTTTACTTTTAAAATGAGCATCCAGCATACAAAACATATGAGTACATGATGCATTGTTATCATTCCAAGGGTTGTTTTCATTACATTAAAGACTTTAACTTGAAACACTTTTTTGTAAAAAGTGTATTACTTCAATGATCTTTCCATCACTTTTCCTTTCAATACAGTATCTTTGCATAGTGTTTTTGCAAGTTTTATTTTAAGTACCTGAATACTTCTTCTACCACCCACACTATGTCCTTAAAACTATTTGGAAACTAAGATATGTGAGAAAACAAAAAAACAAAATGGATAAATGTAATGTTTATCTATGCTTGATAATAGTATAATATAGAAGACCAACAAGTGGAAACATGCATTACACCTTACCGGATTTCAACCTATTATAACTTCCAGATTAATTAAAAATGTCATTTAATAAACACAAAAACTAATGACATATATATGTTATTTCACACTCATATAAAAAACAAAACACAAACGTGGCCTCTAGGAAAGCACATTTATTTGAAAACCATCAAAATATCTGATATACATTACAGTATGTTTTTTGAAAAAATATCCCTTTACTTGCCCACATCACATAGCTGTAGGCAGTGTAATATCATACAACTGGAAGTTAT